GTGCAGTTCTATAGACTGGACGTGTCTGAGCCTTCCTTAGCACATGCAGTGCTGGGAGCCATTTGTTCCGTGCCCATTTAATTGTTATGGAGGTTAGCAGTGGTATGGGTGCAATCCGGGAGTGGTCTATATCTCCCATAGTGAAACACCAAACGAAGTTAGAAAAAGAACGATGGGTTACTAAACGTAAACCCAGGTTCTTTGATAACAGAGTGAGGTGTTTCACCAGCACTTCCCTCCTTGCACGGGTATGGGAAGAAATCTCTCTATAATGATTTTGGCAGGGGTTGACCTGACTGATATAGGTGGGGCGAAGCCTGGTCACAGGTCGACCTGTCTGTCAAAGACAGACGTGGTGTCATAGAAGCTTCCGCAGTTGGTCACGCCCAAAGCAATTCCCATAGTGAAACACCTCACTCTGTTATCAAAGAACCCGGGTTTACGTTAAGTAACCCATCGTTTTCAACCAGGTGATAGTGTTCTTGTTCTCTTACCTGATCCAGGTTCTGTGTTTCAAGCTAAATTTTCAGGTCCATATGAAGTTAAAGAACAGCTCAGTGTCATATGTCATTCACAATCCTGATCGACGTCGTAAGACTCGTATGTGTCACATGAATATGTTGAAACAGTTTATTGTGCGTGGTGAGAAGCCTACTTCTTCCTCTGTTTCACCTGTTGCTGTGGCTACTGTTAGTGAAATGCCAGAATATGAGCCAGTTGAAAAAGTTGCACAAGTTGCAGCTAAACAGCTTCAGAACTCTGCCATATTGAGCGACCTACAGAATGTAACACTTGTTCTAATGTTAGTAAAGTATTCTAAATGAGTGGCCGCTAGTCCAAAGTTAGTCATTTGCATAAAACATGCCCAGACCATCTACATATTAGGGCTTTCCGCACAACCTTTCCTTTACCGCCTTTCCTTTATACTCCACGCAACCCCATATGACGCTGTCTACAGACGCGCTCTCACCAGATCTTTGAGCAATGATAAGTGCTCAGTCCTCAAAACCAGTTCATACACAATAAAACACCTTTTATACAGACCCAGTTTACAGAGCTCGTTAGCTGGCTGTAGAAGCGCTGGTATTCAGAGAAACCTTGCAGCTTGAGCTATAGTCTAATATAGCTTTTCTTACTCATTCACTGTATAAATAATTTAAAGATGAAATACACATTTTATCGTAATGATATATATATATATATATATAATTATATAGTATATAACTATTATACTAAGATGAAACATACATTTTGTCTTAACTATAAAGAGAGAGAGAGAAAGACATTGTATAGATTATTATAGACTGGCCACAGTGTGGTTTTTGCGTGCGTGTGCTTTCATGTTTATTTTTTCTTAAATTTAGAATACATTTTAGTATGAAAGTTTTAGTGAATCATGATTTGTTCGTGAAAACGTTCGTACGCTGGTTTCACACACAAATTTGTGCGTACACATGCTTAGTGAATGAGACCCATTGTCATTGTTCCTTTAGTTGATGGAATTAGATTTGTGCAAAATGTTTTGAATTTATCTTTTGAATAAACTAATTTTCAAAATGCAAAATAAATTGACTTAATTTTCAAATATACTGCATCTTTTGCTAACTATTTTCTCTTATTCCTACTGCTGATTTCATTTTCATTTTCTTCGAACGGCAGTTTATCTGGCTGTGTTTATTTCTTTTTGTGCTCCGGATTCATCATGTTTGGCAACCCATGTCAAGGGAATTATTTCCCTTCTCAATGAACGCGATGCTCTTCCAAGGACTGAAGAGCCAGTTGCATGACTACTTTCCATCTCCAGATGTTCAGGTTACCTGGATTGAAAATCCTTTTGCAAACTTGTGTGAGGGAGCCGTCACAAGTTTAAAGGGTTAGTTCACCCAAAAATGAAAATTAGTGTTTTACTCACCCTCGAGGCATCCTAGGTGTATGTGACTTTCTTTTTTCAGACGAATCCAGTCGGAGTTATATAAAAAATTGTCCTGGCTATTCCAAGCTCTATCATTGCAGTCAGCGGGTGTTTGTTTATGGGAGCAAGGTTTGTACTTCTAATTCGTGACCGGCGTTTTGTTTTGTTCTCTCTCCGTATTCGTCACTAATCACGCAACGCCGATGTCTTCATCCGCCGGAATGCCATGACAGATAACGGAAGTGAGAGAAAAGTGTTTATTACATTGCTGACTGCAATGATAGAGCTTGGAATAGCCAGGAAAAATTTTTATATAACTCTGACTGGATTCGTCTGAAAGAAGAAAGTCACATACACCTAGGATGCCTCGAGGGTGAGTAAAACATGAGCTAATTTTCATTTTTGGGTGAACTAACCCTTTAAGTGCAAAAGAGCCATGACAGCCTCATTGACGTATCTTGTGACAGTGATTAAAATGAATGTTTTCTCAAAAATCTTACACGGATTTTTGGATTCATACTCTCTCCGAGTATCCCAATCTTTCTGACAAAGCTCTGAGGTTTTTGATGCCATTTCTGACAACATACTTGTGCAAAGCTGGATTTTCTGCATTGGTGGCACTCAAGACAAAATACCAGAATAAGCATAACGTTGAGCCTGATCTCCGCTTGCAACTTTCTTCACTTCAGCCTGACATACAGAGCTTAGTAAATGCTAAAAAACACCAACCTTCGCATTAAGTGAGTGACAAAGATTGTTGTTTATGATGTCTAATTGTAATGTGAACAAGTCAATCTTTTTTTTTATTATTATTATTTTATTTCTGCATGTTATTGGTTTAGCTAAATTTGTTTCGTGGTTGTTGTTTTCAAATTATTAACATATTGGAATTAAAAATGGTCAGGAAGCGTGTTTGATCGCCGTCTTCTCATTTCTGTGTTTCCCTCGTGTCTTTGTTTTTCGCTTCAACATGCCAGCTGCACACAGTGCAGACGTTTATTGGCTTCTCGTCTGTTTTCTTTCTTGATTTTTCGCTCTATATCTGCTCTCGATTTGCGCTTGTCACTCGAGCCTGACTTAAAATCTTGCTTTGTCCAATGCTCCAGTTCTCTGCCGGTTTTCACTGCTCGTCTCAACCCTGCTCTGCCTGTTCTAAACTTAAAACGCATTTTTGCCCCGTTTGCGTTTGTGTTGTTTTACTACTTACACAATTATTTAAAGTATAAAACATTATTATTTACAATACACAGCGTGGTTTTTAATCATATTTTTAGGGGGGACAATCCTCAGATAGGGTGGGTTCTGTTCCCCCCGACCCCCCGGGATCTCCGCCTATGACTACTAGTAAAAACGCTGCTACTAATAACAATATGAAACATGCTAAGGTCTGATGAACTGCTGGATTAATGACATAACACAGGGACTGTAATAGGTGAGCACTATCCAGTGTTCCACCCACTACCGATGAAACCGGCTCGTGTTTGTTCTTAAAGACTAAATAATTCTAAATTATGTAATTCCTATATGTAAATTGATCCAAATGTAATTCTGACAGGAAAATACAACAAAAAAATTTTATTTACATGTAGCATGTCGATTCTGTGTGGTGTGTAAGACTCTTGCTCTCTCTCTTTGTGTGTGAGAGAAACACAGTGCGCTCTCAGCTAAGTTATAGTGAGTCAGGCGCCTTAAAGGCACAGTGTGTAATTTTCGCCGCTATAGGGCGCATATTCAAAACAAACAAGAAACAAAGACGTAGTGTGACGACGCTGTGATTACCATGAATAGTGTGGAATTATGGGAGTTGCTGTCTTAATCTCCACAGTTAACTCAATCTGACGGGACTTGCTCAGAAATTATGTTCATGGATGCGCTAACATATTAAAGATTTATTAACACCACTGTAGTATGAAGCAGGGTGCGGAGGGTGGAAGCGGAATGAGGCCGCTGGTGCGATTGATAATGAGAGACGAGCGCGACACACGGCTCGAAAGCAGCGGAGCTTTTATTATGCCACAGTCGACTGCTTCCACTCCTTCCAGTTATGCGTGTAACGAAGTCCCACTGAAGGGGATTATGATGGAGAACCCATGTGCAGTTTAAAAAAAAAATCCAAAAGTGAGCAGAAACACACTGAACAAGACTTGGCTTGGCAAAACATGAACAAACTCACCAAACAGTGGATTACACGAAAAAGCTAGACAATGGACAATGAAACATGAGGACAATATCAAATGAATGGGTCACATGACACAATCCAACCAATGAGAACAAGACATATGAACTAGACAGCCAATAGCAGGATCACACGAGGGCAAGGGAAACACATGACAGAAACCATGACTATGAATAAAACAAAATAAAAAACACGAAAACAGTGAACATGAAACAAAACCCGAAACCCACGTTACAGTATGTGGGGTAAATCAGTACCATTTTATCATACTAGATATATTTAAGTGTGTTGGAAGTTCTGTTACAATGCAACTCTGTGTGTTCGTCACCTGTCTAATAAAAAGCATAGTCTTTATTTCCATGTTTTCTACAAAATAAAACTGGAAATCAATGGTGTTTGATGTCATTGGCAGGCGACGTAATGACACGGTCCGTTACACTAGTTAAAATTGCTTATTTCTCTTGTTAGAAACATTTTGGGATAAGTACTAGGGGTTGAACGACTTCTGATTTTTTGAAGTCGACTTTTATGTGATTAAAAAAACATATATATTGTGCCTTTAACACTAGAGTTTATGGTAACTTTGTAACTTCAGGATACTGATGTCAATATTTGGTATTCTTCATGCTGCTCTGCTGCACTCCATTACGCACGTATTGGATATTTGTTTGGATAACAAAAACATTTAAAACATTAATTTTTTAAGCTGGTCTGCCTGAGCTTTCTAACAGTGATTGTCAAGGTCAAAATGATTAAGATGGCCAGTCCAATAAAAGCGCAAATGTTTGATGCATGTTGCATATTCAAATGCAGTGAGACACTGAAAACACTGGATCATGAACTGCTCACATGTAAATTGATATAGTGCTGTGCTGAATTATTATATGAAATTACATTGCAAGCTTTACAAACCTCAGAATCTCCAGCTGACAGTTTGTACTCTTAAGTCCATCAGAAAGAAGCTTCACTCCTGAATCCTTTAGGTCATTGTTACTCAGGTCTAGCTCTCTCAGGACAGAGTTTGAGGATTGTAGAGCTGAAGACAAACTTTCACAAGACTGAGCAGTGAGATCACATCCACATAGCCTGTGTAAAGAACAAAACAAACAGCTACATTAAAAACAAAAGTAAATGGTCTTCCTTTAGATTTTAAATGTGTTTCAGTAATTCAATTCTTCACATAACACCTGCTACAGCAAGGCAGGGAAGGAAGAGTGGATCCAGTTGCACAAGTTTGTATTTATTTAAATTAACAAAGATGATTTTCTGAAAGATTCCAAAAACGAAGGAAAATAAAAACACAACGAATCAGCTAGCAAACATGCACCATGACCTGAAGAAACCAACGAATATAAATAAATAAGAAAATGAAAAACTAGACACAGGTGACAAACTAATCAGTAGCTATGGAAACAAATGAGAACATCCTTAGGAACCACGGAAATAAAGGAGACAGGAAATAAACACAGGAAACTAGAACTCAGATAAAAAAGAATGAAAAGAACATCAAAATAAGAGTCCCAGAACAGAAACAGAACATCAACCTGACAACACCACACCTGGACAAGTTTACCCAATATTTAGGGGTCCAAGCACTGAAGGTGCCGGAACCCTATTGTTTTCGTACTGATTTTCTTATTATTATTATTATTATTATTATTCTTTTTCTGCCCTAAAAGTGTCTGGCCAGCCAAAACTGTAAGTCGTAGAAACACCAAGATGAGAGATGAAAGACGTAATACTAATGTTGTCCACCAGAAGGAGTCAAAAGACAACAAATTATTTTAGATCACGTAGTTTAAAATATATGTAAATATCCTAAATTCAGAAATCATTTGTCAAGTTGTCAGACATGACTGCATTGTGGTCCAGTTAAAATGAATAGACAATATTATTTGTCTGTTGTGATATGGTACATAAAATAAAACTTCCATAGAAAGACACTTAAAATAGACCTACTCGTATTACGCTTGAAAAGAGACATGGCCATTGTAACATAATTGTATCCTCTACACGAGGCGTTTCCCAGCGGGCACCTTGATATCCATTTGACGTCAAATAATAGTCATTGATGACGATGCTGTAACATCATTTTAAATTCAGTTTGGACAGCAGTTTCTTCCAGTGGTAATTGGGTGAAAATAGGAAGTTAATCCCACACTGAAACTGGTTTAATGTAGCCTAAATGTAGGCCAATATGTTTGCCGTTCAGTTTGGACAGCAGTTTCTTCCAGTGGTAATTGGGTGAAAATAGGAAGTTAATCCCACACTGAAATTGGTTTAATGTAGCCTAAATGTAGGCCAATATGTTTGACGTTCAATTTACATCAAATCAATGTCATTTCAAGTTTTTGACATCAGTTGGATTTACATGTTTGACCTGTTTTTTATGTCAATTCTGGTGTCAATTTGATGTCTTTTCAACATCAATTGCCCAATGGGTCATGCTTGGACCCCGATGATTGCCGCTTGCATCTATATTTTATGTACTGATCAGTTTTCTTAACCTATGATACAATTTAGAAAAATTAAATGGGTAATATTTGAGTACAACAAAGCAAAGGTCCTGGTGTTAAATTACCACTGCTCCGAGTACATATTGTCTCAATCTACAGATCCCGGTTGTTCAAAAAGTTTAATGTGGGTCAGAATGATTCAGTGATTTATAATTCAGATGCAATCAATGATTCAGATTATTAAGATACATAAAGAACAAATGGTTAAACATTAATCATGAGGTGTTTTCCCATGATTTAAGTGTTTTCATTTGAAGAGACAGAAAACGTAACCATGGTACCCTGAGAAGGGGAACGAGACACTGCATCTTGGATTGATGCAATGGGGAACGTCATCAGCATGACTGGTGTCTGAAGCATGTGTGCAAACACAACAATTCTATTGGCTGATGACGGGGTGGGCACTTCCAGTCCTGGAGGGCCACTGTCCTGCAGAGTTTAGCTTCATCATAATCAAACACAGCTGATAAATCTAACCACAGTCTTCAGGATTGCTTGAAAATTGTGGGCAGCTGTGTTTGATTAGAGATAGAGTTAAACTGTGCAGGACAGTGGCCCTCCAGGAATGGAAGTGCCCATCCCTGGTCTATGACGTCATTATCGGAGCACCATGTGTATAAAAGGGCACCTTCAATGTACGTCATCAGTTTTTTTGTCTCCAGGAGCTGCTTGTTTGAACACATGTGTAAAAAACCCTGAATGTGCTCATTGCATTGCATTTGTGGTAAGCTCTGATCTTGCTTTATTCTCTCCAGAGGGATGACATAATTACAATAATAATAATAATAACATTAAGGTGTCGAGGTAATGAAAAAATTTATAATAGCAATATGCAAGGATGCCCCAGTTGAAGAGCTGGCTAAGAGCTCTCTCTCTCTCCTGGTGTTGCATCCTCTGTGAAGGCTCCCAGTAGAGTGAGCGATTTTGGCTCTTGAAGGGGCTGAATGCTAGGGCTTACCCTGACTAAAGATTTTCCTAGACGACCAGTTCATTAAAGCCATTAGTCGACTAATCGCCCGTTTATTATATTAATTTAATCACTTAAGCAAATATGGGGAAAAATTGTTTGATTTTAAGGGCTGAGAAAGAATGTTGTTTGTAACATTGTTCTACATTTTAGAGAAATACTAAACCATAATAATAAGCATTAAAAATATGAATTAAGAACTTAAGCACACGCATAAAATGACACTGGCAAAAGTTATGATTATGAATGTGACGGGAAAAAAAGGGCAAGGAGGTTTACTGAATATTCATAATTGATTAATAAAAGTATAACATACACATCACAAATTATGAACTTGCTAATAATAATTAAATACACCGTTTGGTAAAGAAACTAACTAAAATGAATAAATATATTGCAAAGTGCAACACTTATATTAATAGTAGGCCTATATTATTAATACAAAAATTAAACAGGCCTATAGGCAAAGTCACATGAAAACGTCCCTAGGTTACATATGTAACCATGTTTCCCCGAAGGGAACGAGACGCTGCAACGAAAACACTTTGGGAACACCTCTGCGTGACCGCGTCCTAAAGCACATATGAAATCAGTCCAATAGAATGGCGAGACGTCATGGGTGGGGTGACGTGGAGACCAGGATGCTTTGGAGTAAACAGCGGCAGCTTCTGAAAAGTCGAAGCAAGCGCTTACAGGGTTGCAGGAAGTATGGCAGGCGATGCAGCATCTCGTTCCCTTCGGAAAACCATGGTTACATACGTAACCTAGGGACGTTCCCCTTCTGGAACACGAGCTGCATCGAAAATGCTTTGGAAATGAGAATACCAACTCCGCCATACTGAAGAATGCCTGTCCAGTGTGAAGACTACACGCACATCTAAGACAGAAGCACTCGGAGTAGTTCCAAAATCTAGGTTATAAAACTTGACAAAGGTGAGCAGGGTAGACCAACCCGCAGCCTCACAAACATTGTGTAGAGACACGCCAGATGAGAAGGCCTTCGAGGCCGCCATACTCCTAGTAGAGTGGGCCCTGACCCCCAAATGTAACGGGAGGTCAGAGGACTCATAAGCCAGGGAGATAGCCTCAACTATCCACCTGCTTAATGTCTGTTTGGCCGCTGGGAGAACCCTCTTGGGCAGACCAAAGCAAACAAAAAGTTGCTCAGACTTTCTCCACAGTGTGGACGTAGGTGTCCAGTGCTTGCTCTGGACACACTAAATTAAGCTTCTCCTGGTCTGGCTCCTGAGAGGGAGGAGGGCAGAATGCCTGAAGCACTACCAGCCACGGAATCTGAGTGGGCACCTTAGGCACATAACCAGGCCTTGGGTGCAAGAATGCTTTGACCATCCCAGGTGCAATGTCTAGACATGATGGGGCCACTGTAAGGGCCTGTAGATCACCAACCCTCTTGAGAGAGGGAATGGCAAGAAGAAACACTGTCTCAAGTGTTAAAAACTTCTCAGAAACCTCCTGTAGAGGTTAAAAGGGAGCCTTACTAAGTCCTTCCAGAACCAGAGTCGGATCCCATGCCAGGCCTCAGCCTCAAAGCACCACTGAGGAAACTTGTCAGCAACAGATTTCTTCCTAATGATAGACCGTCCAAAAGAGTGTGGTAAGCAGCTATGGCCGCCACGTACACATTTAGAGTGGAAAGAGTCAACCCTGCAGAGAATCGTTCTTGCAGCAAGTCCAGCACTGAACCAACCGGGCAATTAACTGGGTCCTGCAGATGATCTCCACATCATGAAGTGAAAAATTTCCACTTTAAGGAGTACAGTTTCCTCATGGAAGGAGCTCTGGAGTGGAGGATGTCTCAACAACCTCAGTTGAGAGACCGGAATCTATGAGATGTGCCCCCTCGGAGGCCACACCCATAGTCTCCAAAGTTCCAGGCGAGGATGTACGAACATGCCGCCCGCTTGAGTCAGAAGGTCCCTCCTGATCGGAATCCTCCATGGAGACCCGTCAAGAAGGGACACGATGTTCGAGAACCATACTCGGGCCGGCCAGAACAGGGCTACTAGCAGTAGACTGATCCCATTCTGGCGGACTCTTCCAGAACTCCCGGGAGCAGAGCAATCGGGGAAAAGGTGTACAGACGCAACCTCAGCCACGTCTGTACCATGGTATCCAGTCTGAGAGGAGCTGTATGTGAGATGGAGAACCAGAACGGATAGTGTGAAGTCTCAGACGCACAGCTCTTTCATGTGCGCGAGAACGACATCTCGATGCCGAACCGCCATCTGCTCTGATTGAGCTAATATCAGCTAATCATGTAATTCAACACGTGGATGACCTGGAGTCGCAGAGGAGCCAGAATTGCATTCACGCACTGGTGAAAGTGCAGGGTGATAGTGCTAGGCCAAAAGGAAGAACCCGAATACTGAAATGCTTTGCCCCTGAAAGCAAACCTCAGGAACCTCCTGTGTTGTGAAAGGATGGATACATGGTTGTATGCATTCTCTATGGTGACAAACCAGTCCTCAGATCTGAATTGAGTCATGACCTGTTTCAACGTCAGCATCTTGAACGTGAACGTTTCACAGAATGATTCAGTCTGCACAGACCTAGAATCAGATGCAATTCCCCCATCCTTCCATGGAATTATGAAGTACCATATATAGAACCCGGACACCCTCTTGAGAGGAGGAACGTGTACTGTGGCCTCCTTGCTCACAAGAGTAACTATTTCCTGTTCCACTACCAGAGCCTCCTTGGTACATACCATCTGCTGGACCCATTGAGACACATTTGGCAGATGTTTCCACGCTGTCAAGAGGTCTACTAAGGGAACCAGTCTCTCGAGACTGGCCTCTGGTGTATTTGAATAGTTCATTTGCAAAAGCAGATAACTCTGTTTTTATTTTTTTTCATAATTCATGTTTTTTTTAAATTGTGCATTCCAAGTAATATCAATCAAACTGCAGTTGGGTTGTTTTGATTACGTAATAATAGCTCAAAAATACAGGTAACTTACAAAATTAAAGTTAATTGAAAGTATGTTTTTATATATATTAAAAGTTTTTTTTTTTTTTGGCAAAAGCAGATAACTCCACATTTCATGTTTCAGAGTAAAACAAAAACACTTGGTTAATCTTTGTAATCTCCTCAGCTGACAATGTAGACGCCTGACAAACTTTACTGTTGTGATTACACGCAATACAGGGATCTTCTCCCTCACCACTGCAACGTGCTGATTTAGCAAGGTTCCATGAAAAAGTTTCAGATTTAATTTTCCTTTTACACCCCAAAGAAGATATCACGGGTTCATCAAGTTCGTCGAAAGTATCCATTCTAGATCACTTTTAGTAGCTTTGACGAAACTCCTCTCAGCTAGCGCGTCTTTTTGAAGTGACTATCAGCCTTGTCACCTGACCTGAATACTGCAAGCTGATTCGCTAAAAATAACTTATCGGGTTCTGTTCACAAACAACAAGGGCGCTTGTCGGTTTCTGCTGTAAAACATGAACTCGCGATGCCTTCACAGTGGACAATACCGGCTTTTGTGACAAAACGTGTTTAGGGTTCAGAATGGGCTATATGTGGAGAATAATGCACAGCAGTCAATTATTTTTAAACGTGTTTATCGGTTTTTGCAAATGAACTCTTCATTTGTAGTAGTCAGTTCAGTGCCCTGAAGCAGATTACTGGCAGGGAAGTCACTTTTATTTATATAGCACTTTATACAATATTGATTGTGTCAAAGCAGCTTTACAGTGTCAACAGGAAAATAGTTTCAATAATACTAGAGGACAACAACAGAGTCATTTTCCAGCTAAAGTCAGTTCATTGATGATTCAGTGATGTCATTATCCAGTTCAGCTCTTTTCCAAAAGTCCCCAACTAAGCAAGCCCAAGGCGACAGCGGCAAGGAACCAAAACTCCATCGGTGACAGAAATGGAGAAAAAACCTTCGGAGAAACCAGGCTCAGTTAGGGGGCCAGTTCTCCTCTGGCTAGACCAAACCAGCATGGTGTGGTTTTAATTCCAGGCTGCAACACTGGTCAGAATTAGCAGAGGGCTTGTCTTGTTCCCATGGTCTTGTGCCGATGGTCGTCGAGGTCTTCGGAGGGCATCTGTCTCTGGGGCGCATCTAGTTGACATGGTCTCCTCTGACATTCAGGGTTGTACATTTTGTCTCTAGGTGCTTATCCACCATCTGGACTGGGTACGGACTGGATCCGGGTGACTGCAGTGACCATCTGATCTGGATACAGACTGGATCTGGGTGGCTACGGTGACCTCGGAATAAGAATAAACAGACTAATATTAGCGTAGATGCCATTCCTCTTACGATGTAACAAGTACATCGGATGTCATGGGAAGTGTTCCCGGTTCCGGTTGACCTAATTAATGCAGCCTAACAATCCTTTAACGGATTTGAATTATAGAACTGCCGCCCGCAGTTGATTTTGATATTCTAGGTATTTTCAAATATGACCGACCTGACGGCTCTAGTGCCCTCATCTGAGGGGACGAGCATTCCCGTGCCGTACCCTAGCCGGGCAGCATCTGGGAACTTTGCTCAATGGAGCCCACTGAGCCCTGAAGCACCTGTGGTGGCAGGAGTATCAGCAGGGCTGAGGACACCAGCCCCTCGGGACTGGCATCCATTGTAACTAGAGTTTAATTTGGTGTCCTGAAGCGGATGACCGGCAGGGAGCAACCAATTTACCCACTCTAACGACCTCACTTGAGGGGACGAGTATTGAGCAGACTGAAGATGATAGGTCCCGACATGGAGGTTGTAATTTAGCACACAGGAAGTGTTATCCAATTTACTCTTAGGACGAAACATTCCTCTTCTCGGCCGGCCAGTCAATGTTAACCTGGCTACGGCACAAGTTACAATCTCCACCAACTCCTCATAAGCAAGAATGCTAAATAATATAAACATCAAAACTTCTCAAAGCCAGATGACATATAGTGTACTAAAACTTTAGAAAAAAAAATAAAAAATAATTTTTTATATATATATATATATATATATATATATATATATATAAACACAAATTCAGCAGCTTTTAGATCTTGTTGATCCGATTTTGTCGAGACAGATTCAGCTGCTGGCGGCTCTCCTCTTTCTATCTTTTTCTCCGCAATAGTAGCTGTTGATTATATGTTTCTCCTGTTGTGTTTTTATTGAGTAGGTCATCCAATAACAGAAATTAGTGATTTACACCAATACGTGATGCTGCTGCTGGGCAATCAACCCTGGTTGTGCATGGGGCTTGTGGGCAGAGCTGCTGAATTCTGTGTACTAGAAAATTTTGTAAATGCTATTCAAACTGACAGTAAAATATACATATCAACATCATTAGAGGACAAATCTGTTTGCTGTCAGTTTTGACCTCCGTCACATTCAATCCTTCAGCTTCACCTTTCACACTGACCTCTACAATCATCCAGCTTTCACACAGACCACACAAAAATCTTCCCAGCTGGTTTAGTAAGTGTGTCTCACCTCTCCTGCTCACTGCCAGAAATGTGATTCTAAGAGATTTTCCTATTTTGTTAATTTGGTTAAAAACAGCACATCTTAAAATGATAAATGTGATCATGGTTTGAAAGTGGAGTGACTGTTTTCAGTGTTATTTACCGAACTGATCTGGATTCTTTAACCACAGGTAACAGATTCTGAAGAACTTCATCTGCTTTATGTTGTTTTCCAACAAACAGTTTTAGATCAAACACATCCATCTTCTCTTCTGACGTCAGCAAAACATAAACCAGAGCTGACCACTGTGAAGAGGAGAGTTTGGTTTCTCTTATTTCTCCAGATTTCAGGTAATCTTGGATCTGCTTCATCAGTGAATCATCACCCAGTTCATTCAGACAGTGAAACAGATTGATGGATTTCTCTGGAGAGCGATTTTCTCTGATCTTCTGTTTGATGTACTGAACTGTTTCCTCTTTGTTGTAGGAGCAGCTTCCTGTCTGTGGCAGTAGTTTTCGTAAGAGAGTCTGATTGGACTCCAGTGAGAGACCCAGAAGAAAACGCAGGAAAAGGTCCAGATGTCCATTCTTACTCTGTAAAGCCTCATTCACAGCTCTCTGATGTAGTTCAGATAATGAATTATATTTTTTCTGCTTAAAAATCTTAGGCAACAGACTTTGTTTGGTTTGGTCAAACACATTTCTCCTCTTGATTGTAAAGGAGAAGTGAACATATAGAGCTGCTAGATGTTCCTGGATGCTCAGATGAACAAAGCAGCGGCTGAGATCCAGCAGAACACTGGGATGTGGCACATGATGAAAAGGCTCCTGGATGACTTCAGGTGTGAGATGATCCTGTCAGCCAAACTCTGAAATGAGGTTCATCAGCAGCACGTCCACTGAGGCTGATTCAGATATATTACACAGTTTCACTTTGCTCTTAAAGTCCAGAGACAGACGACACTCATCCAGACCATCAAAGATGAACAATACTTTATTTTCCTCAATGGATATTTCCTTTTCTTTTGTTTTGGAAAAAAAGGAATTAAGAAGACCCGAAAGACTGAGTGTTTTGTCCTTCATCAAATTGAGCTCTCTGAAAGGAAGTGGAAATATGAGCTGGACGTCCTGATTCTCTTTCCCTTCAGCCCAGTCCAAGATGAACTTCTGCACAGAGACTGTTTTTCCAATGCCAGCGACTCCCTTTGTCAGCACAGTTCTGATGGCTTTGTCTTGTCCAGGTAAAGGTCTAAAGATGTCATGGTTTCTCTGCATCGCTGTTCCCTCATACAGACACCCAAACTTCTTTATCAGATTTGATTTAAATGTGTTGAGAACTTCATGGCTGTAAAATAAAAAAAATAACATTATTACATGAGTGCAATAATAAGCACAATGTCTTATATATTCTGTATCATATCCTTACAAACAAAAACAGACATGCTATACCTGAGACCAGGCCGTGCATCTCCACTCAAACTTATTGATTGATCCATAGATGTGTGTCTTTTCATAGACACACTGCTGGACTCTGGTTCTGATCTCTTTTGCTGCACTGAGCTAAAACAGATAGAAAATAAAGTTATTTCTGTAAAGTCCCCCTGTAGTGAAAATCAAGTTTTTTTTATGTTGTTTATTTGTCTATGTGGTGTTTTTAATATGGTTACTATCGAAATTTTTGCCCCAATTTTTCATCGGTCATTTGTCCGTTGACTAATCTTTTAAAGAACTCCGCTAAATTTGAGTGGACCCCCCATTGTCAAAAAGCATTTGAGAATGTGAAGTTGCTGTTGACTGCTGCTCCTGTATTAGTAGCGCCCCACAGTGGTCTTCCGTTTGAGATTCAGGTTGACGCAAGTCAAGTGGGAGCAGGAGCGGTTCTTCTCCAGACTCATTTTGGTGGTATTAGTCATCCAGTTAGTTATTTCTCACGTAAGTTTAATTCTTATCAATTGAATTATTCTGTTATTGAGAAGGAAACGCTGGCATTGATCTGGGCACTTCAATACTTTGATGTGTATGTGGGGGGAGGGTCCTCAGTTGTCATCTATTCGGATCACAATCCTTTGACATTTCTTCACACACTACAGAGTCCGAACCAACGCTTAATGAGATGGATACTTTTCTTACAGCCTTATAACTTGTCGATTAAACACATTAAGGGAGTTGAGAATGTTTTAGCGGACACCCTGTCACGTGCCCCCGTGGTGGAATGAGGAGATGGTGTTTCGGTCTCCAACTGATGTGAGTTGACCTAC